ACCGCTCGGAGGATCTCGCTTTCTCCCAAAGGTTTGTGGGGAAGGGCCATCGTTTTTCTTTTTTTTCAATTTTGTTTAAGAGGGGAAAACAGGTGAAGTGAATAAATTAGGTTTGTATTTTATGTATTCAATGTAATATAATATTTAATATAATAATAGTATAATATAATATAACATTACATTATACTATACTAGGACACTATGTTATATTATTAGAACAGAACAAAACAGAAGAGAAGGGAAGGGGAACAGAACAGAACAGAACAGAACAGAGAATGGAATGGAATTAATGGAATGGAATGGAAGGGAATGGAATTGAAGGGAAGGGAAGGAAGGGAAGGAAGAGAAGAGAAGAGAAGAGAAGAGAAGAGAAGAGAAGAGAAGAGAAGAGAAGAGAAGAGAATATACTGAACATAAAACAACAACAGAACAGAATAGAATAAAACAAAACAAGACAAAATTACAAGAATAGAACAGAACAAAATTAATAGAATAGAATAGAATAGAATAGAATATTATTTGTTTGTTTGTATCCCACATTTATTATTTATATAAATAACTCAAGTCAGAGAGCGTATTCAACATACAGTAGCTTCCTCCTCCTTTCCCCCCAACAACGACCCTGTGAGGTGGTATGGTCTGAGAGAGAGGGATTGGCAGAAGGTCACACCGAGCTGGCTATCATGGCTAAAGGTGGACTAGAATTCACCATCTCCTGGTGATTGGTCCAAAGTCACCCGGCTGGCTTTCATAGGTAAGACAGCAGTAGAATTCATTGTCTTCTGGTAATTGGCCCAAGATCACCTAGCTAGCTTTTGTGCCTAACATGGCACTAGAACTCACTGTCTCCCTGTTTCTAGAATGGTGCTTTAGCCACTAGACCAACGCAAGATCAATTCGTGCATTTCTAACAGATGACCAGCTATGCGTCAGGGTTCCAACAGATGCCCTAATTAAATCATGAGCCTCAAGCCAAGCTTCAAAAGAAATCCAGTTATTTATTAGAAGCTTCATGTCGGCAGGGACCAAGTGAAGCCAACTCTGGCCTCACTTAATTCACGCCCGGACTCTGACTCTGTTTCCCCCTCCCGCCCCCAAGGTGTGTCATCAGTCACATTCCCCAAAGAAGCAATTTCAAGGATTGTAGACGTTCCCTCCCTCCAGCCACTGTGGGTCTGCATGGAGATGACCTTGACGTGGCCATCTGGAATGTGCTTTGTTTTGACTGAAGTGCAAGTTCCTCAATGTAGCTGCGATGTTTGATTCCCCATCCCCCTTCCTATGGCAACTGAAGGAAGGCTTCGCAAATTGACGCTATGTTTTGAAGAGTTCTAAAGTATGGTATGGCATAGGGCAGTGATGGCGAACTTTTTTGGTGCCAAATGCCGAAAAGAGAGCACTTCACGCTCACCAGGAAGAGGAGCTGCTCAGGGGGTATGTGCGTGCTGGATACGGTACTTCCGGCTTCCGGCACTGTTACACGCACAAAAGCCTGCTGATCATCATGTGCACATGCATGCCAGAAACCTGGAAGAGGAACGGGCAACCCATGTGTGCCAGGCAACATGGCTCCGCGTGCCATAGATTCGCCATCATGGATATAGGGTCTCTTTCTTGAGCAGGGGGTTGGACTAGAAGACCTCCAAGGTCCCTTCCAGCTGATTGTATCATGTATAATACTAGTATCATGTATTGATACTAGACAACACAGTATCCACAGTAGAGACCTTCAAATTTCTAGGTTCTACCATATCTCACGACCTAAAATGGACACCCAACATCAAAAACGTCATCCAAAAAGCTCAACAAAGAAAGTTCTTTCTGCGCCAACTCAGGAAGCTCAACCTGCCCAAGGAGCTGCTGATCCAGTTCTACAGAGGAATTATGGAGTCTGTCATCTGCACCTCCATAACTGTCTGGTTTGGCTCTGCAACCCAACAAGACAGACACGGACTTCAGAGGATCATTAGAAGTGCAGAAAAAACAACGGCTACCAACCTGCCTTCCATGGAGGACCTGTATACTGCACGAGTCAAAAAGAGGGCTGGGAAAATATGTACGGACCCCTCGCATCCTGGACATAAACTGTTTCAACTCCTACCCTCAAAACGAGGCTATAGAGCACTGCACACCAGAACAACTAGACACAAGGACAGTTCTTCCCGAATGCCATCACTCTGCTAAACAAATAATTCCATCAACACTGTCAAACTATTCACTAAGTCTGCATTACTATTACTATTAATCTTCTCATCATTCCCATCACCCATCTCCTCCCACTTATGACTCTATGACTGGAACCTTGTTGCTGGTATCCTTAAGATTTATAGTGACTGTTTCCCTATGACTATCATTAAGTGTTGTACCTTATGATTCTTGATGAACGTATCTTTTCTTTTATGTACACTGAGAGCGTATGCACCAAGACAAATTCCTTGTGTGTCCAATCACACTTGGCCAATAAAGAATTCTATTCTATTCTATTCTATTCTATTCTATTCTATTCTATTCTATTCTATTCTATTCTATTCTATTCTATTCTATCCTATCCTATCCTATCCTATCCTATCCTATCCTATCCTTTTCCATTCCATTCCATTCCATTCCGTTCATTATTCTGTTCTATTACACAAGCCAACTTTTGACTCAACAGTGTGAGTAATGTCAGTCAGTATCATATAGTCAAGAAGAGGACTCATTCTTCATGTGAAGTGGGATCTGTCTCTTCTTTGTACCATCCCTACTAGATGACTCATTTTCTAGGTGGCATCTAACTATAGATCCTTCTGCAAAATTCCAGAAGGTCCAGAAGCTCATTTAGATTCTGACTCGGCTGTTAGGAACAGAGTCTTGAATATGGTCAGCCCCTCCTTGACTGACCATCTATGCTATCTGACCCTGTTCCTTCAAAACCAAGAGCCAGGTGACTCAGTTTCCCTGGCCAGGATTCCTGGCTACCTGCGTTAACAACTGCAGTGAATCACTTAACACCTGTGGAAAAAGAATAGTAAAATGGAACCCAGCTGTCTTGCTTAGCAATGGAAATTTCAGGCTTAGTTGTGATTGTAAGTCGAGGGCTAACTCTCCTCGATTTATGACCACAATTGAGCTTAAAATTTCCATCACTAAGCAAGGAAGTTTTTAAGTGAATTGGGCCCCGTTTTACGACCTTTCTTGCCACAGTTGTTAAGTGAATCACTGCAGTTGTTAAATTAGTCCCCCAGTTGTAAAGTGAATCTGGCTTCCCCATTGACTTTGCTTGTCAGAAGGTCGCAAAAGGGGATCACATGACCCTTGGATGCTGCAGCCGTCACAAATAGGCGTCAGTTGCCAAGCATCTGAATTTTGATCGCATGGTCATGGGGCTGCTACGATGGTCATACGTGTGAAAACTGGTCGTAAGTCACTTTTTTCAGTGCCGTTGTAACTTGGAAGGGTCACTAAACAAATGGTTGTAAGTTGAGGACAACCTGTACGGCAATATGGACCTGTCAACTTGTCACAATGGGTGCATGTAAATTAGTTAACGGTGCAATCTTGAGTTTTGCAATAGTGGCGAGTATCTGTAGCTCAGGTGTAGGGTGAGGGCGAAGGTTGGTTCTCCGAGGTTGTGGGTCGGTTTCCAAACATTTCATTACCAGGCTGGGTAACATCTTCAGCGGACTTTAAGGGATGTCAGAGTCAGTATTGTTCTGTTTATAAGGGCTTCAGGTGTAGGTGTGTCAGGTGAGAATCTTGTGGTGGGTCTTGTAACTTGATGACATCCCTTAAACTCCGCTGAAGATGTTACCTAGTAACGAAACGTTCGGAAACTAACGCACAAGCTCGGAGAACCAACCTTCACCCATTCCGTTGTTGGTTGACTTCACTTCACTTCAGGACTTTGCAGGAGATATCATTAGACGAATTCTGCTTCCGGGAGTGCCTGCAAGAGATGGTCAAAGAAGTTAAAATGGCGGCCAGGCGGTTTTTCCTGTGCACGGGCCGTAAAGACGTTGATTACAGGCATGGCCGCCATTTTGACTTTTTTGACCCCATGGTGCATACATCCCCAGCTCTTTAGAGTAATCTTCATTTCCACAGGGTTGGGAGGGAGGGTGGAAGGAAGGAAGGAAGGAAGGAAGGAAGGAAGGAAGGAAGGAAGGAAGGAGACAGAGAGAAGGGGAAGAATGAAATAAAGAGAAATACGGAAGGATGGAGAAAGTGAAAGAAGGAAGAAGGGAGGAAGGAGAAAGAAAGAATGGATAAAAAGGAAAGGGGAGAAAGGAAAGAAAAAGGAAGGGAGGGAGGGAAGGAGGAAGGGAGGGAGGAAAAAGAATGAATGAATGAAAGAAAGAGGGAGAAGGAGAAGGAAGGAAGGAGACAGAGAGAAGGGGAAGAATGAAATAAGAAAGAGGAATACGGAAGGATGGAGAAAGTGAAAGAAGGAAGAAGGGAGGAAGGAGAAAGAAAGAATGGATAAAAAGGAAAGGGGAGAAAGGAAAGAAAAAGGGAGGGAGGGAAGGAAGGAGGAAGGAAGAAAGGAAAAAGAAAGAATGGATGAAAGAAAGAAAGAGGGAGAGGGAGAAGGAAGGAAGGAAGGAAGGAAAAAGAAAGAATGGATGAAAGAAAGAAGGAGGGAAAAGGAAGGAAGGAAGGAAAAAGAAAGAATGGATGAAAAAGAAAGAGGGAGAGGGAGAAGGAGGAAGGAAGGAAAAAGAAAGAATGGATGAAGAAAGAGGAGAGGGAAAAGGAAGGAAGGACAAAGAAAGAATGGATGAAAAAGAAAGAGGGAGGAGGGAGAAGGAAGGAAGGAAGGAAAAAGAAAGAATGGATGAAAGAAGGAGAGGGAAAAGGAAGGAAGGAAGGACAAAGAAAGAATGGAAGAAAGAAAGAAAGAGGGAGAGGGAAAAGGAAGGAAGGAAAAAGAAAGAATGGATGGATGAAAGAAAGAGGGAGAATGAATGAAGGAATGAATGAAGGAAGGAAGGAAGGAAAACAGAAAGAATTTTTTTCCAATGTTTGCATAAATAAATTCTTTATTTTGGAAAACTGAGCAATGCAGGAGAGCTTCGTGGCTCTTCTGCAGCTTTGAGGCACCCGGGTTAAACAAAGCTCAGATGCTCCGGAGTTGCATCTGTGGTTTTGCCTTTCTCCATTATTCTGCCTTTTCCTTGTCTTTCTCCTCGTCTCTGATAGCCAGGATCCGTTCCCTTTCTTTGATCAGTTGCACACCGCAGTACGTGATGAACCAGATGGAGAAGGTGCTGAGAGGAAAACCTGAAATGGGAGACAACGAGGGTGAAAGAAGTTGAGGGAGGGAAGGGAAAGAGAGAGAGAGAGAGAGAGAGAGATAGAAAGAGGGAGATGGAGGGAGAGAAAGATTGAGGGAGAGAAGGAGAGGGGAGAGAGGGAAACAAGGAAAGGGAGAGAAGCAGGGAGAGAAAAAGGGGGAAGGGGAGGGAAGGAGACAGAGGTTAAGGAAGGGAAGGAGAAAAGAGGGAATTGGAAAGAGGAGGATGAAGGGAGAAAGGGAGAGAAAAGAAGGACGGAGAGGGAAAGGGAGAGAAGGGGAGGAAAGAGGGAGGGGACAAGAGAGAGAAGAGGGAGAGGAGGGAGGTAGACAAAGGCAAAAAGGAAAAGAGGGAGGAGGGAGAATGGAAGGAGGGGGAGAAGGGAAGGGAGAAAGGAAAAGACGGAGGGAAGGGGAGAGGGAGAAAGGGAGGGGAGAGAGAGGGAGCGAGAGAGGGAGGAAGAGAGTAGAAGGGAAAAAGAGGGAGAGGAAGGGAGAGAGATGGAGAGGGGGACAGAGGACGAGAAAGAGAGGAGACTGTCAACATGGAGTTACTTTGGCTGAATTGTCATATCTCTTGAACAACACAAAGCTCGATGGAAGATGAATGTTATTCATATCACACTGGAGAAAATCAAACCCACTTTGCAAGAATTTCCTCTGGGAGGTTTGAAAGGTAGCTCGGGTTCAATGAGAGAAGCCAACAAGGGATGTTTTGAGTAGAAACCGCATCCCTGAACTTCTGAGGAAACTTCAGGAGATGCGTGGCATATAGTTGAGCAGTATAACAGACCCTCTTCAGGAGATGAGTCCTTTTCCGCCCTGAACATAGAGGTGTCCTCAAAAAGTTGGCCTAGCCTTAAGATGCAGGCCCCTAGTAATTCCTAAATGTCACCTGTCAATTTCATCAGAATCAAATTGACAGGTTGAGAGTGAAATTGATAGGTGGGGAGTGAAATTGATAGATGGGGAGTGAAATTGACAGGTGAAGAGTGAAATTGACAGGTGAAGAGTGAAACTGACAGGTGGGGAGTGAAATTGACAGGAAGAAAGTGAAACTGACAGGTGGGGAGTGAAATTGACATGTGGGGAGTGAAATTGACAGGTGAAGAGTGAAATTGACATGTAGGGAGTGAAATTGACAGGTGAAGAGTGAAATTGACAGGTGAAGAGTGAAACTGACAGGTGGGGAGTGAAATTGTCAGGAAGAAAGTGAAACTGACAGGTGGGGAGTGAAATTGACAGGTGAAGAGTGAAATTGACAGAAAGTGAAACTGACAGCTGAAGAGTGAAATTGACAGGAAGAAAGTGAAATTGACAGGTTGTCAATGACAGCTGAAAAGTGAAATTGATAATGGAAAGAGAAATTGACTAAAGAGATAGCGAAATCGACACAAGAGATAGTGAAACGGATTACGTTCGAGCTTCTGAGCCAAAAGAAGACTACTGTACCAGTTAGGAAGATCCTCTTGGCAACCAGAAGGGCAAACTCCAGACTATTGAGGGCAAGGATGTTGTAGAAGACAATTGCCCAGAAATTGGCTGCCCCAAAGATGCTCCTGATTCGCCGGGAAGTTGCCTCAGACATGTTGGCCTGCCAAGTAGAAGAGACATCAGTGAGACAAGGAGGATGGGAATATTTCTCACCTCATTTTCCTGCCCAAATTTAGTGCTGGTGTGCAGTATGTGGAAATAAGACCCTCTCAAAATATAGGTACTCCTCGACTTACAACCACAATTGATCCCAACATTTCTGTTGGTAAATGAGACAGATGTTAAGTGAGTTTTGTCCGATTTTATAACTTTTCTTGCCATGGATGTTAAGTGAATCACTGCAGTTGTTAGGTTAGTCACATGGTTATTAAGTGAATCTGGCTATGCTTGTCAGAAAGTCACTAAAAGTGATCACATGACCTCAGGATAATGCAACTGTCATAAATACCGGCCAGTTGCCCAGCGCCCAAATTTTGATCACATGTTCATGGGAATGCTGCAACGGTTCAAACTGTGAAAAATTTTTCACAGTCACTTTTTTTAGTGCTGTGCAACTTTGGTCATTAAATGAATCTACAACTTTAGTGAGTTGTAGATGCAACTCACTAAAATATCTACGAAACAGGAACATGGATATCTAGAAGCTAGGAATCGCCTATTTGTTCACGAGTAGCCATCTACACCACGGTCTAAAATGATTCTTTTCTTGAAAATATTGGGCAAGAAGAAGTCACAATTCTGGCAGATAATTTGGACATTTCTTCTAATATTTGACTTCTGGTTTGGAAGATCCTACAGAGTGGACACGAAGGATGAGCTTAGCACCTCTTTCTCTGCAAACAGCTTCAGCTGGAAGAACTGTTGCACCCACAACTCAAAATTGAGGCCGAAGCAGTTGCAAATGGACCAAATGTAGACAATTTCACAAGGCCCCAGCCAGAGGGTGGTGATGGCAAAAGTGGAAATGGTGGCCATGAGCTCCTTGAAGATGTTGTCGTGATCCTTCCCAATGTAATCGTAGACGTATCTGGAAATCAATACAACAGGTGACGTTCAAGAGATTGGCTGGTGGGGTCTGTTCTCTTGTGGGTGAAGGATCCATCCCACGTTTGTTGCGAGACCACAACATCTCCCATATTTGTGAAGCACCAAATACGAATTGCGACCCAAAAACCACTTACTTGCACAGCCAGTCGTTAATCCCTCTGTCAAAGTGCCTGGAAACAAATGACAAAAGAAACTTAGTTCATTCATTGTCCTTATTATGTGACATAAATTCTTTGCGGCCAGTTTAGCATCTGTTCCCTTCCTCATCTGAGATCAGACCACGATGACCAAAATCCAACCTTGAATATGCAATCAATGAATGAACATAGAACATAGAATAACAGAGTTGGAAGCTCTGATATAGCTTGGGCTATATCAGGGGTGTCAAACTGGCGGCCCACGGGCTGGATATGTCACACGCAGGCTATGCCCATCCCAGCTCCGTGAAGGGGAAAAACATCATGTTATGGCAACGTGATGGGATGAGTTTGACACCTGTGCCCTATACTAGACAAATGGTTCTCCAATCTCTTTTTGAAAGCCTCCAGTGATGGAGCCCCCATAACTTCTGAAGACAATCTATTTCATTGGTTGATTGCTCCCATCATTAGGAAATTTCTCCTTTGTCTCTCTCTCCTGGATTAGTTTCCATCTATTGCTTTTTGTCCTGCCTTCAGGTGCTTTGGAGAATAGGTTGACCCCCTTCTCTTTGTGAAAGCTCCTCAAATATTGGGAGACTGCTATCATGTCACTCCCTGGGCCTTATTTTCACTAGACTAAGGTAAAGGTTCCCCTCGCACATATGTGCTAGTCGTTCCCGACTCTAGGGGGCGGTGCTCATCTCCGTTTCAAAGCCACAGAGCCAGCGCTGTCCAAGGACGTCTCTGTGATCACGTGGCAGGCATGACTAAACGCCAGAGGTGCACGGAACGCTATTGCCTTCCCACCAAAGGTGGTCCCTATTTTTCTACTTGCATTTTTTACGTGCTTTCGAACTGCTAGGTTGGCAGAAGCTGGGACAAGTAACAGGAGCTCACCCCGTTACGTGGCACTAGGGATTCGAATGGCTGAACTGCCGATCTTTCGATTGACAAGCTCGGCGTCTTAGCCACTGAGCCACCGCGTCCCTTTCACTAGACTAGACATACCCAATTCCTCCTTCACAGTGCTTCACAGCCGTCTCTCTAAGGGGTTTACAGATTCAGCCTCTTGCCCCCTAACAATTTGGGTCCTCATTTTACTGACCTCGGAAGGATGGAAGGCTGAGTCAACCCTGAGCCTGGTGAGATTCGAACTGCCAAATTGCAGGCAGTGGGCAGAAATAGAATTTTATTTTTTTGAGGGCTAGATAACTCAATAGAGGCGGATCAAAATGTTGTACTAACCTGTCTCGTACTTGGTCCCAAAATTTGTATGCTACCCCCTGTTGCTACCCCAACATTTCTTCGTAGTGGGACCCTCCCTTCCTCCCTTCCTGCAGGAAGGGAAGCTCTGCTCACACAGAGTTCTGCAGCAACTCACGTTTCCGCAAAGACGTAGAGCATTGTGATGCACTTGGGCGGTTGCGGTGGATCCAGATGATCCAACCTGGCGATGGTGTTGATGACCCCAAACATCACGGCAGCTTTCACCCAATCGTACACCAAGTTGGAGTAGGCCAGGCCAGCTGTGGAGCAGAATGCAAGGAAGAGAAAGAGAAGGACAGAAGGATAGTGAGATTCTTTTTTAACAGATTAACAGAGTTGGAAAGGACCTTGTAGGTCATCTGGTCCAAGCCCCTGCCCAAACAGGAGACTACACCATTTTTGACAGATGGCAGTCCAGTCTCTTCTTGAAAGCCTCCAGTGATGAAGGTCCCACAACTTCTGAAGGCAGCTTCTGTTCCACTGGTTGATTGTTCTCACTGTCAGAAAGTTCCTCCTCATTTCTTGGTTGAATCTCTCCTTGTTCAGTTTCCATCCATGATTCCTTGTCTGGCCTTTGGGTGCCTTGAAAAATAGCTTGACCGCCTACTCTCTGTGGCAACCCCTCAAATATTGGAAGATGGCTATCATGTCTCCCCTGGTCCTTCTCTTCACTAGACTAGCCAGGCCCAGTTCCTGCAGCTGTTCTTCATATATTTTAGCTTCCAATCTCCTCATCATCTTGGTTTTAGCTAACTGCACTCAGTGTTCCCCAACCTTTTAAAGACACATGGACTTCAACTCCCAGAATTCTCCACCAAGCCTATCAGGAATGGACTTCAAGTCCCAGAATTCTCCAGCCAGTGTACATACTATACTTACCCAGCGCCCAGTCAGAGAGACGGTTCACAAACTTCAGGTCTGAAGGAATGGTCAGAATGTAGAAGAAGTGGAAGAAAACATCCACAATGACAATGGCCATAAGGTGGACAAAAGCATGAACGATGATGTGCCACATCTCGCGATCTTTACGCTGCAGCTGGCTGTTGTGTGCCTGTGGCCGAGGGAAAATTAGGAACTAAAAGCAGTTCCCAAAACATCTGGCTTTGTAGAATGCAGAATGAGAAAAGGGAGGGTGGGAGGGATGGAGGGAGGGAGGGATGGAAGGAGGGAAGGAAGGAAGGAAGGAAGGAAGGAAGGAAGGAAGGAAGGAAGGAAGGAAAAGAGGTATGAGAGGGAGAGAAGGTGGGAGGGAACATGGATGGATGAAAGGAAGGAGGGAGGGGGAGAGAGAGATGAAAAGGGGGTGGGAGGGAGGGAACATGGATGGAAGGAAGGAAGGAAGGAAGGAAGGAAGGAAAAGGGGTATGGGAGGGAGGGAAGATGAGAGGGAACATGGATGGATGAGAGGAAGGAGGGAGGGAGAGAGGGAGAGAGGGAGGAAAAGGAGTGGGAGGGAGGGAAGGTGGGAGGGAACATGGATGAATGGAAGGAAGGAAGGAAGGAAAAGGGGTATGGGAGGGAGGGAAGATGAGAGGGAACATGGATGGATGAGAGGAAGGAGGGAGGGAGAGAGGGAGAGAGGGAGGAAAAGGGGGTGGGAGGGAGGGAAGGTGGGAGGGAACATGGATGGATGGAAGGAAGGAAAGAAGAGAGGAGGGAGGAAGAAAAAGGGGGTGGGAGGGAAGGAAGAGATGGAAGGGAGGGAGGGAGGAAGGGAGGAAGGAAGGAAAGAAAGAGGGAGGGAGGGAAGAGAGGGGAGGGAGGGAAAGGGGGGTTGAAGGATTCACATTATCATTTTCCTTCCTTCCTTCCTTCCTTCCTTCCTTCCTTCCTTCCTTCCTCCCTCCCTCCCTCCCTCCCTCCCTCCCCCCTCTTTTTTACTTCCTTACTTCCTGTCTACCTTCCTTTACCATGCCGAAGTATTCAACGTTTTCATTGGTCAGATTTACAGTTCACTAGAGCAGAACAGACAGGGCCTAAATGCATGATAGTGACTCTAGGATGCACTTGTCAAACTGCAACGTTTGGGGTGATGGGCATTTTTCTAAATTTTTGACACCAAAAAGTTCACCATTACTAACTTCCACATTCTTCCACCTCCTCCTTTCCTTCTGCTTCTTGATTGGCTAAAGAATGGCAGCGACCAGTGCAATGAGCCAGCCCAAAGGCCACAGGTGTGGATAGGGATAATGCTTACCTGGACATGAAATTGGTCAAAAGTCATGATGGGCCCAAAGAAGAAGAAAGGGAGGTAGAAATTGTATTTCATCAGAGCGAAGATGGAATAATTTCCCTCTTTCCTCTCACAGTTCTCCAGGGCGAAACTCATGCAACGCATGATACTGAATCCGGTCCCCCGTAAAAGAGAATATCTTGGAGGTCAAAGGTTCCTGAGACGAAGTCATTCTGGACCAAAGGAAAGTTATCACGCATGGACTAAAGAAAAGAGAACTTTGCAAAAAACAAACAAACAACAAACAAACAAACAAACAAACAAACAACAACCCCAAGCTGAGCCAAACCATCTATCTGAAGATCTCCCTCCCCCTCCCCCTTCTCTTCCTTCCTTCCTTCCTTCCTTTCCCTCCCTTCCTTTCCTTCCTTCCCTTCCCTTCTCCTTCCTTCCTTCCCCTCCTTCCTTCCATCCCTCCCTCCCCCTTCCTTCCTTTCTCATTTCTTCCTTCCTTCTTTCCCTCCTCCCTTCCCTTCCCTTCTCCTTCCTTCCTTCTTTCCCCATTCCTTCCCTCCCTCCTCTCTTCTCTCTCTTCTCTTCTCTTCTCTTCTCTTCTCTTCTCTTCTCTTCTCTTCTCTTCTCTTCCCTTCCCTTCCCCTTCCCCTCTCCTTCCTTCCTTCTTTCCCTCCCCTTCCTTTCCCCTTCCTTCCCTTCCCCTTCTCCTTCCTTCCCTTCCCCTCCTTCCTTCCATCCCTCCCTCCCCCTTCCCTTCCTTTCTCATTTCTTCCTTCCTTCTTTCCCTCCCTCCCTTCCCTTCCCTTCTCCTTCCTTCCTTCTTTCCCCATTCCTTCCCTCCCTCCCTCTCTTCTCTTCTCTTCTCTTCTCTTCTCTTCTCTTCTCTTCTCTTCTCTTCTCTTCTCTTCTCTTCTCTTCTCTTCCCTTCCCTTCCCTTCCCCTTCCTTCTTCCTTCTTTCCCTCCCTTCCTTTCCCTTCCTTCCCTTCCCTTCTCCTTCCTTCCCTTCCCCTCCTTCCTCATCCCTCCCTCCCCCTTCTCCCTTTCTCATTTCTTCCTTCCTTCTTTCCCTCCCTCCCTTCCCTTCCCTTCTCCTTCCTTCCTTCTTTCCCCATTCCTTCCCTCCCTCCCTCTCTTCTCTTCTCTTCTCTCTCTTCTCTTCTCTTCTCTTCTCTTCTCTTCTCTTCTCTTCCCTTCCCTTCCTTCCCCCTTCCTTCCTTCCTTCTTTCCCTCCCTTCCTTTCCCTTCCTTCCCTTCCCTTCTCCTTCCTTCCCTTCCCCTCCTTCCTTCCATCCCTCCTCTCCCCCTTCCCTTCCTTTCTCATTCTTCTTCCTTCTTTCTTCCCTCCCTCCCCTTCCCTTCCCTTCTCCTTCCTTTCCTTCTTTCCCATTCCTTCCCTCCCTCCCTCTCTTCTCTTCCTTCTCTTCTCTTCTCTTTCTCTTCTTCTTCTCTTCTCTTCTCTTCTCTTCTCTTCCCTTCCCTTCCCTTCCCTTCCCCTTCCTTCCTTCCTTCTTTCCCTCCCTTCCTTTCCCTTCCTTCCCTTCCCTTCTCCTTCCTTCCCTTCCCCTCCTTCCTTCCATCCCTCCCTCCCCCTTCCTTCCTTTCTCATTTCTTCCTTCCTTCTTTCCCTCCCTCCCTTCCCTTCCCTTCTCCTTCCTTCCTTCTTTCCCCATTCCTTCCCTCCTCCCTCTCTTCTCTTCTCTTCTCTTCTCTTCTCTTCTCTCTCTTCCTCTCTCTTCTCTTCTCTTCTCTCCCTTCCCTTCCCTTCCCTTCCCTTCCCCTTCCTTCCTTCCTTCTTTCCCTCCCTTCCTTTCCCTTCCTTCCCTTCCCTTCTCCTTCCTTCCCCTCCCCTCCTTCCTTCCATCCCTCCCTCCCCCTTCCCTTCCTTTCTCATTTCTTCCTTCCTTCTTTCCCTCCCTCCCTTCCCTTCCCTTTCTTCCTTCCTTCTTTCCCCACTCCTTCCCTCCCTCCCTCTCTTCTCTTCTCTTCTCTTCTCTTCTCTTCCCTTCCCTTCCCTTCCCCTTCCTTCTTCCTTCTTTCCCTCCCTTCCTTTCCCTTCCTTCCCTTCCCTTCTCCTTCCTTCCCCCCCTCCCCTCCTTCCTTCCATCCCTCCCTCCCCCTTCTCTCCTTTCTCATTTCTTCCTTCCTTCTTTCCCTCCCTCCCTTCCCTTCCTTCTTTCCTTCCTTCCCTCCCTCCCTCCCTCCCTCCCTCCCTCCTTCCTTCCTTCCTTTCCATCCATTTTCTCCTTGATCCTCAAGGAATTATCTTTTTTGAAGCCCAGGATTCCCCTTTGGATCAGTACAACTAAGCCAGATGTTTCTAGAGATTGTTCTTGGAGTTAATGGATGAATGAAATTCTAAAGTATCCACAGAGAGCTGGAGAGCAGGAGGGTCCATGGCAGGTCATTTTAAGGATTATTTTCCTCTTCCTGTATTAAATGTCCCGATTTAAACCATAAATCCTGGAAGAAGAGGCAATTCTTTTCATTCAACCCTTCCTTCAATCATTCCACCCTTGTAGGGGATAAATTGTCTGCTAAGTCTCCTGCTCTTTTATAGATGAGTTTCTTCATTACAACGAAGATGTAGTTGTGGAGTCCTTGCTTCCCCTAAGCTTGATTGATTTGTTGTGGACATTTCATGACCCAACTCGGTTACATCATCATTGTGAGAGGTGTGGGGTTCCCTCTCTCTTTTTTTTTTTCAGTTGTTTGCCCTGGCAGTGTTGATGAGTGTATAGTTTTTTCCATTGTTGATTAGGATATTTTTTTCTGATTGTTTGTCTGGGGTTAATCCATGCTTATCTAGATTTCTCTTTCTGTGAAGTCCATGCTGTCTGAGGTTGATTGTTTGTTTGCAAATGGTTCATTACCCAACTTCAGAGCATTAGCATCACAATTCACAACACTGTAAATACCTATTCCTTCTAGCACTGATGTTGTTCCCTAGTTGGGTCATGAAACATCTGCAAGAAAACCATCAAGCTTAGGCAGCACCAACCACCCTACAGTTCTCCTTCTCCTTCTCCTTCTCCTCCTCCCTCCTCCTCCTCCTCTTCTCCTCCTCCTCCTCCTTCTCCTCCTCCTCCTCCTCCTCTCCTTCTCCTCCCCCTTCCTCCTTCTCCCTCCTCCTCCTCCTCCTTCTCCTCCCCCTTCCTCCTCCTCCTCCTCCTCCTTCTCCTCCTCCTCCTCCTTCTCCTCCTCCTCCTCTCTTGCAGACCTCACTCCCTTCTAGCACAGATAATGTTACCTAGTTTAGCAATGAAGCATCTGTGTGCAAACACACCGAGCTCAGAGAGCACCAAGTACTCTACAGAAAGAGAAGCCCAGATAAACGTGGATTAATCCCAGACGAACAAGCAGAAAACAGACCACTCTAGTCAAGGAATTACTACGGAGAAAACCCACATCCGTCCAACATTGGAGGGAAGACTCCTGTCTATAAACTGGGAGCAAATTCCGCACAACAACAATACTGACGATATTGCCTAGTTGGACAACGAAACATCTTCAAGGAAACTACCAAGCTCAGAGACCATCAAGAACCCCCCACCCCAGTTCATCCCTGAGCTACATATCAGTGGTGGGTTGCTCCCGGTTCTCACGAACCGGTAGTAAAAGCGGCGAGAGGCTCCACCCACCCACCCGGATATCATAATTGACTATCTGTGCATGTGCAGAAGTGCGCGTGCGTGCTCCCGTTGCGAACCGGTAGTAAAGGTAAGTAGAACCCACCCCTGCTACATATATCCACTTCTATGGAAATGTTTCTTTTATTAACCAGGTTTGTGGCAAACCGGAAGCAACACCAGGAAGACAAACTTACCTGCCAGGAGTTGAAGGGTTCGAACTTGAACGACGCCAGGCTGCAGAGTCCAGCGATAAAACACAGCCATTTCTGTTTAGCCAGGCCCACGGTGTAGAGTACCAAGCAATGGGACAGGATGACCATCAGATAGTTGCTTCCCATACTGCCCAGCACAGTCAGGATGCCGTAAATCATGTACATGACAGACCTGTGCTGCGAGGAAACGAAGGAAGACATCCTTTGACCATCTGGTCTCAAGGTCCTGAATTCTCTCTCGCCAAACGGTCTGTGGCTGAACTAGATTTAGTCTAGGGAAGGTCTTGCACTACAGGTAATCCTCCACTTACGACTGTCCGTTTAGCAACCGTTCAAGGTTACGACAGCATTGAAAAAAAAGTGGAATTATGAACAGTCGTCGCACTTACGACCGTCGCAACATCCTCACAGTCATGTGGTCAAAATTTACATGCTAAGCAACCGCCATGTATAGGAAATCCTTTGGCTTACAAATTTTAATTAATGACCTTTTGAAGTTGCATGAAAATGACTTAAAAACGTTTACATTTATGACCGTTGAAGCATCTCAGTGTTTTTTGATCAAGTTCCCAGTGGTCGATGATCAGATGAATGGTATATTTTGATGGTTGGAGTGTTTGGGGGTGGTGGAGTGTCCGGGGTGTGTGATCCCCTTTGATGACCTTTGGACAAGCAAAGTCACGGGGGAAGCTGGATTCACTTAACAGCCACATGATTCACATAACAACTGCACTGATTTGCTTACAGAGGTTGTAAAATCAGAGGGACTCACTTAACAATTGTCTTGTTTGGCAAAGAAAATTTGTTCTGATTTGTTGTCATAAGTCAAGGAGTTCTTGCATTCCCCCCCCCACCATCTTTAAAACTCTTCTCCCCATCACTTCAGTCCTGCATCATAAATTTCCTCCAAAAAAAGACAGTCAGACCCAGATGGAAGAGGCCTGAACAATGCATAATACAGTATATATTTGTCTGCATAGTGTGTAGAAATTCCTTGTGTGTCTAACCACACTTGGCCAAATAAAGTATCTTATCTATTGTGTTCTGTTCTGTTCTGTTCTGTTCTGTTCCCTTCCCTTCCCTTCCCTTCCCTTCCCTTCCCTTCCCTTCCTTTCCATTCTATATTCTATTCTCTTCTATTAATTTTCTTCTATTTTAATCTTGTAATTTTGTTTTATTCTTTTCTATTCTACTCTACTCTATTCTATTCTGTTCTGTTCTGTTCTGTTTCATTCTATTATGTTCTGTTCTGTTCTATTCTATTAATTTTGTTCTCTTCTATTCTTGTAATTTTGTTTTATTCTATTCTATTCTATTCTATTCTATTCTGTTCTGTTCCATTCTGTTCCGTTCCGTTCTGTTCTGTTCTGTTCTGTTCTTTCTGTTCTGTTCTGTTCTGTTCTGTTCTGTTCTATTCTATTCTATTCTATTCTATTCTATTAATTTTGTTCTCTTCTCTTCTATTCTTGTAATTTTGTTTTATTCTATTCTATTCTGTTCTGTTCCAGTCTGTTCTGTTCTGTTCTGTTCTGTTCTGTTCTGTTCTGTTCTGTTCTATTCTATTCTACTCTATTCTATTCTATTCTATTAATTTTGTTCTGTTCTATTCTATTCTGTTCTGTTCTATATTCTATTCTATTCCATATTCTCTTCTATTAATTTTATTCTATTCTATTCTTGTAATTTTGTTTTATTCTATTCTGTTCCGTTCTGTTCTATTCTATTCCCTTCTATTAATTTTGTTCTATTCTATTCTTGTAATTTTGTTTTATTCTATTCTGTTCTGTTCTGTTCTGTTCTGTTCCGTTCCATTCCGTTCTGTTCCATTCCGTTCCATTCCGTTCTGTTCTATTAATTTTGTTCTGTTCTGTTTCTGTTCGATATTCTATTCTATATTCTCTTCTATTAATTTTATTCTATTCTCTTCTTGTAATTTTGTTTTATTTTATTCTGTTCTGTTCCATTCTATTCTATTCCCTTCTATTAATTTTGTTGTGTTGTGTTGTGTTGTGTTGTGTTGTGTTGTGTTGTGTTCTATTCTATTCTATTCTATTCTATTCTATTCTATTCTATTCTATTCTATTCTATTCTATTCTATTCTATTTCTATTAATTTTGTTCTGTTCTATGCTTGTAATTTTGTTTTGTTTTATTCTATTCTATTCTGTTCTGTTCTGTTTTGTATTCAGTATATTCCTTTCCCTTCCCTCTTTGTTATTTATTTTATTATTTATTATTATTTATTAGATTTCTATACCGCCCTACTCCCGAAGGACTCAGGGCGGTGCACAGCCAAACAATAAAAACACATACAATACAAAATTTAAAAAATAGAATAAAATCAAATTAAATAATTTTGGCCCCGACAAATTTAAAACCCCAAACTTTTAAAACCAATTTAAAATTGAATATATAAAATACTAAAAATAAAAAATTTAAAAATTTTAAAAATCTTTTATAAAAGAGGGGGAAAATTAGGCCAGGCCCGCTGGTGAAATAGTAAGGTCTTTAAGGCGCGGCGGAAGGTGCGCAGATCCGGGATCCTCCGTATCTCTGGGGGGAGCTCGTTCCAGATAGTAGGTGCCCCCACAGAGAAGGCTCTCCCCCTGGGGGCCGCCAGTCGGCATTGTTTGGCTGACGGCACCCGGAGGAGCCCCTCTCTATGGGAGCGTACCGGCCGGTGGGAGGCTATTGGTGGTAGTAGGCGGTCCCGCAAGTACCCGGGTCCTAAGCCATGGAGCGCTTTAAAGGTGGTAACCAAAACCTTGAAGCGCACCCGGAAGACCACCGGGAGCCAGTGCAGCTCGCGCAGGAGAGGTGTTACATGGGAACGCCATGTCGCTCCCATTACCACCCGCGGCCGCACTCTGCGCCAGTTGGAGCCTCCGGGTGCTCCTCAAGGGGAGCCCCATGTAGAGAGCGTTGCAATAGTCCAGGCGGGAGGTGACAAGGGCATGAGTGACCGTGCGTAAAGAGTCCCGATCCAGAAAAGGACGCAACTGGCGAATCAGGCGAACCTGATGAAAAATCCTCCCGGTCACGGCCGTCAAGTGCTCTTCTAAAGACAGCCGTGAGTCCAGGAGGACGCCCAAGTTGCGAGCCCTCTCCGTGGGGGCCAATGATTCGCCCCCAATAGTCAGTGATGGCGTCAACTGACTATATCGGGACGTCGGAAACCACAGCCACTCAGTCTTGGATGGGTTGAGCCTGAGCCTGTTCCTCCCCATCCAGATCCGTACGGCCTCCAGGCACCGGGACATCACTTCAAGGGCATCGTTGGGGTGATCCGGGGTGGAGATGTACAGCTGGGTGTCGTCAGCGTACTGATGGTACTCCACCCGAAACCACGGATGATCTCGCCCAGCGGCTTCACATAAATGTTGAACAGGAGAGGCGAGAGGACCGACCCTTGCGGCACCCCACATATGAGGGGCCTCGGGGTCGACCTCTGTCCCCCTGTCAACACAGACTGCGACCGGTCAGAGAGAAAGGAGGAGAACCACCGCAACACAGTGCCTCCCACCCCCAACTCTTCCAACCGGTGCAGCATGATACCATGGTCGATGGTATCAAAAGCCGCTGAGAGATCTAACAGGACCAGGACAGAGGAGCACCCCCTGTCCCGAGCCCTCCAGAGATCATCAACCAACGCGACCAATGCCGTTTCCGTGCTGTACCCGGGCCTGAAGCCCGACTGGAACGGATCCAGATACGTCGTTTCATCCAGGTGCTGGGGGAGCTGTTGCGCGACCACACTCTCAACAACCTTCGCAACAAAGCGAAGATTGGAGACCGGACGATAATTTACCAACATTGCCGGGTCCAGGGAAGGCTTCTTGAGGAGAGGCCTCACCACCGCCTCTTTCAAGGCGGCGGGAAAGTCACCCTCACTCAGCGAAGCGTTTATAATCCCCTGGAGCCAGCCTCGTGTCACTTCCCGGGAAGCCAGTACTAACCAGGAAGGACACGGGTCCAATAAACAAGTGGTCGCGTTCAGTCTACCCAGAATCCTGTCCACGTCCTCAGGGGTCACAGGATCAAACTCATCCCAGATAACATTCTCAAGACCTGCCCCTGTCTCTCCCCCTGAGACTACCCAGTCGGAGTCCAAATCTTCCCGAATCTGAGTGATTTTGTCATACAGATACTGAACAAAATCCTCGGCTCTACCCTCCATTCCTCCATGTTCCATTCCTCCTTCTCTTCTCTTCTCTTCTCTTCTCTTCTCTTCTCTTCTCTTCTCTTCTCTTCTCTTCTCTTCTCTTCTCCTCTCCTCTCCTCTCCTCTCCTCTCCTCTCCTCCTCTCCCTTCCCTTCTCTTCTCTCTCCCTTCCCTTCCCTTCCCTTCCCTTCCCTTCCCTTCCCTTCCCTCTTCTCTGTTCCATTCCTCTCTTCTCTTCTCTTCTCTTCTCTTCTCTTCTCTTCTCTTCTCTTCTCTTCCCTTCTCTCTTCCCTTCCCTTCCCTCTTCTCTGTTCCATTCCTCTCTTCTCTTCTCTTCTCTTCTCTTCTCTTCTCTTCTCTTCTCTCTCTCTCTCTCTTCTCTTCCCTTCCCTTCTCTTCTCTCTTTCCTTCCCTTCCCTTCCCTTCCATTCTATGTGATCATTTGAAATCACCACGGCACTTTAAAAAAAATTGACTGATGACCATAGCAGCATCCCTGTGGTCATGTGATCAAAATTTAGCTGCTTGAACAACTGACTCCTATTCATGATGGTTGCAGAATCCCAGGGACTCCCGTGTGATTTTGCGACCTTCTGACAATGTGGGAAGCCAGCTCCACTTTTTGACAACAACTGCCGTGATTTACTCAACAACATTGGCGAGAAAGTTGGTGAAACGGGGCAAAACTCACTTAACAACTGTCTCATTTAGCAAGAGAAATGTTGGGCTCAGTTGCGGTCGTTAAGTCGAGGACTGCTTGTAACGGAATCCCCGAGGTTGGTTGTTAATGTCTCCGTCGTGTAATTCCAAGGACAACCAGCAGGTGGCAGGCACTGGGTGAAGGCAAGGGGAGAGGATGGACCTACCTGAGGGGCTACCAGGGAGCAGATCTTGGCAAACAGGACGTGGCCTGAAAGAGCGAAGAGGATGAAGTTCCTGAAGGACTTGAACCACATGGCCCACTCAAAGTCAGCCACATCCTGGAAAAGAGAAGCAGAGAGCTAGCTGGTCACTGCACAGAAAGATTTCAGTTTATGTGTTGCTCCTGGTAGTTTGAGTGATTGGCTGGTTCACCCTGGACTTACTTTATGGAGCAAATCAAGAGGTTCTTTGAGGCTCTTTGAACTTTAAATAAAAAGAGGGAGGGAGGAGGGAGGGAGGAGAGAAGGAGGGAGGGAGGGAGGAAAGAGGGAGGGAGGGAGAGAGGGATGCATTGGGGAGAGGGAGGAGGAGGGAAGGAGGGAGGGAAGAAGAAAGGAGGAGGGAGGGAGGAGGAAGAAGAGAAGGAGAGAAGGAGAGAGGGAGGCAGGAAGGAAGGAAAGGAGGGAAGGAAGGAAAGTGGAAGGGAGAGAGGGACGCATTGAGGAGAGGGAGGGAGGAAGAAAGGAGGGAGGAAGGAAGGAAGGAAGGAAAGTGGGAGGGAGAGGGACACATTGGGGAGAGGGAGGAGGATGGAAGGAGGGAGGGAAAAAGAAAGGAGGAGGGAGTGAGGAGAGAAGGAGAGAGGGAGGAAGGAAGGAAGGAAAGGAGGGAAGGAAGGAAAGTGGGAGGGAGAGAGGGACACATTGGGGAGAGGGAGGGAGGAAGAAAGGAGGAGGGAGGAAGGAAAGAAGGAAGGAAGGAAGGAAGGAAGGAAGAATAAAGTACAAGAGAAAAGGAAGGAAGGATCAAGAGAAGGGAAGAAGGAAAGAAGGAGGGAGAAGAAGGGGAAGGGAGGAAGGAAGGAAGAGGGAGGAGGAAGGAAGAATAAAGAACAAGGGGAAAGAAAGGAGGATCAAGAAAAGGAAGGAAGGAAGGAAGGAAGGAAGGAAGGAAGGAAGGAAGGAAGGAAGGAAGATAAACATAAATCTTCTTTGTCTTCCTACTCAAACTTACCATTTTCCTACCAAAATAATGCCATCCTGGTTTTATGTTTTCTCGGAAGGCTTTTCGATTCATGCTATCTGAAAAAAGAAAAAAAAGCGAGAAAGGGAGAAAGAAAGAATAAGAGAGGAAAGGTCACCAGGAGACGGGAGAGTTCTAGTGTCACCTTAGCCATGAAAGCTAGATGGGGTGGCTGGGCCAGTTCCTCTCTCTCAGTCCAGCCTACCTCGCAGGGTGTTTGTGGTGGATAAAATAGAAAGAGGAAAGCGTGTTGGATACATTTGCGACCTTGAGTTACTTGTAAAAAAAAATTTTTTTAAAAAAATATTTTTTATTAAAAATTTTCACCTTTAAAAACAAAAAACGATGACAAAAACAGGAAAAAACAGAAAAAACAAGACAAACATAACAATGTAGAGTAGTTTTACAGCCTTCCGTATCAGCATATATGTTCTGTTTTTTATAATTCGCCTTCCTATCGGTTATAACAACTATATATTTTTTTTTAATTTATATGCCGCCCTTCTCCGGAGACTCAGGGCGGCTTACAATGCGTTAAGCAATAGCCTTCATACTTTTGTATATTTATACAAAGTCAGCTTATTGCCCCCACAAACCGGGTCCTCATTTCACCTACCTTAGAAAGGATGGAAGGCTGAGTCAACCTTGAGCCTGGGGAGATTCGAATTTACAGTAATTGCAGACAGCTGGTGTTAATCACAATGCTCTCAGTCTGCTGATCCACCAGGCTCAGCAGATTGTTATTATAATGATATAATAACAATTATAACAATACTAGTTACTCATATCTACATTATAATTACATTATAATCAGTAATTTAAATATAATAATAATTTCTCCAAAATTCATTACTGCTAATTGATTTATAAGAAAATCCCAATTTAAGTTATCGAATGCTTTTTGTGCATCTATGAATATCAATGCTGCTTGTTTTTCTGGATGTGCCTCATAGTATTTCTAATACATTCATTATAGTTCATATATTGTTTTTTAAGTGTCTATTGGGTAGAAATCCATTTTGGTCCAGGTGTATGATTTCGTTTGGTATATTTTTAATTCTTTCTGCCATTATCGCCATAAATATTTTATAATCAGCATTTATAATCAGCATTTATAGATCAGCTGGTCGTCTCTTGTTCTTTTGTAGATTTCATCTCTAACGGCTTTTTTTTTTTTTTGCAAAGCTTACATGTATTTCACGGGGTAATCTATGTTGTCGTGCGTAATTGGTATGCACTCTGTATATTTCATCAATGTTGTTGTGCAGTTCACATTTATCCATTTGCAATGAGTCCGCTAACAATTCCATCATAAGTTTTGATAGATCCTCTTCTTTAGTCTCTGTTATGTTTTGGAACCTCAAGTAAAATGAGGATCTTTCCAATTCTAGGTGGATTATTGCTTCTTCCAGATCTCTGTTCGCTGCTATCAGCCTTTCTTCCATTGCTTCCAGTTTCCTTTCAGTTTGTTCTGTCCTTGCTTCTACCATTTTTATCTTCTGCTCATTTTTGACTATTATCTCCTGAAGCTTCCCCATTCTATTGTCCAATTTCTTTTCTTTTTTTTAAATAATTTTTATTAATGTATTCTATGCACCAATACACAACTGTATATAAAAAACTGATATTAATTGTTGGACCTAATCAGTGAATTACATTACATTTCTATTGTTAATTATCAGTTATAAAAAGGGATATAAGCAGGGGCAGTGACTAGAAAAAGACCTATTAGAGTGAAAGATTAGAAATTTATGGTATTGTGGAATAATCTCTTCAAAAAGCTAAAGATGTCAAACACATCAACAGTTACCAAAACTGTAAAGAAAACAATGCCAACGACAACAACAGACATGTCAAGCAGCGAAAAACCAGGATCTGCACTAACCCTACAAAACATGCAAGCCACATTAAATATGATTCAGGAGGTTATGATGAAAACACAAGAATCAATAAACAACAACCATGAGGAAATGAAAGGTGAACTAGGTGAAGTGAAAGGAGATATAAAGAAATTGGACGATAGAAAAAAAATACGGCAATGGATTTTGGAAATTACACACATCAATTTGGAATGAAGGCCCGAGATTTTCCTGTTGGGGGCAAAACCTTTGAATGTTAAATCAGGTAAATGGTTCTTGTTGATTCACATTATCACTGCAGCAAGATTAGCATATGCGCAGGAGTGGAAAAATCAATACTTACCGATGGATTTGAAAATAATATATAAAATTAATGAGTGTGCGGAATCAGATAGATTAACTAGATTGATCAATGGTAAAAAAGATTCAGAATTTTATAACAGTTGGAAATTATAGTACGATTGGGTCCAGAAAAGGTGGGATAGAATAGATATAGGTTATTGAAGAATCTATTACAGTTTTTTTGCTATATATTAAATCTATATAAATACATAAATTAGTATACGCACTTAATTAATTAGAAGTTAATGTTGATCAACAATTCCTATTTTAAACTAAATAAATTTTCAAATATGTGGTAATAAAAGAAGTTATAAATTTTAACCTATTTTAAATATGCATAACTCTATATGAAGTATACATAAAATGTTTATATATATATATATATATATAATATTAAATTTTTAAAGCTAAAGATTCTATATAAATATCACAGTAATAAATATTTCTATTTATTTATTTATTTATTTATTATGATTATATAAAAGTATTTAAACTATAAAAAGTATTTGAGTAATCAATGTACAAAGCTGATTATAGATAAGTCCAATCAAAAGTCCTTTGTTGGAATCACCAAAGTTCTTTATTCCTCAATCTCTCTACTTCCTGTGCAAGTTCCTCATTCTCCACATTCAAGATGACAGCTTCCCTCAATTTGCACAGTCACTGTCCCCTCTCTTCACTTTTCTCCATCTCTGTCACTAAGAAGACCCTTTCATTTCTTCTTTTTCCAGTCTGTTCACCACCTACACGAACTCTCAACACGTATCCCACAACTTCAGTCTCAGAGATCTGTACAATTTTCCAACACAACAGTCGTTTGAATTGCCGCTCATAATTCCTTTCACTCTCTACAGATTCTGTGCTGATTCCGTCTTCTTTCTTTTTCCGCTCCCACCATTAAGGCGCCGCTCTTTCTACTTTGGAGACTCATTTGATTACTCATTTGTAGATTCCACCAACTTAGAGAAGTAACTTGGCATCTCACTTTGTTTTGGCATTCTCCACTGATACTTCTTGCTGTTTCTCACTTTTTGCTTCCTCCGCCATTCAATCAGGCCGTCACGCTTCCAGACCTAGCCATCACAGCTGGTCTCTTCCGTGCTGGATTTCAGGGATTCCACCCTCCACAACGGGGAATCGCTCTTTTCCCCATCACCCCTGGATTTTCCCCTCTCTATTGCTGACCTCTCCAAGATCCAACTTTGCCGTTGCCGGCCTCCAGACATGAAAAATCGGACAGAAAGAGCAGAGTCCCGTTCTCCTGTACCGCACCACCGTGACGTCACCCCCGAAGTCCTACTTGTAAAAATTATAAAGGCAGGATATAAAATAAATAAATAAATAAGTGAATGAATGCATGAATAATAAGGCAGTAGATTGGAAAAGAGAAGTGATTCCAGGGACCCATTGCAAATTCTTCCCCCTACATCTGAGGGGTTGGATTACCTTGGGAGCTCTCAAAAATCTCCTGCCCACTGTAAGCGATGGCACAGGACACAATCAGGGCATAAAGGCCCAACTCATAAGTGGGCAATGCCGCCTTAATCCCCATCTCGGACAGAAGCTCTTGAAGGACCAACACCGAGGGTCTTCCTGTGGAGGAGAGAGAGAGAGAGAAGAGGCGAGAAACTGAAGGAAGAGAAAAATGGTTACTGAATCATTGAATTCTGGAATCAGAGGGGACCTTTGAGGACACCTAGACCACTCCCGTGCTCAGTGCAGAAGGCCAATTCAATTTGAAATTAGATGACCCCATTTGGTGCGTGAAGACCACCAAGGAAGGAGATGGGACCATGGCCCTGGGGACCTTGGTGCTGTTTGAACTTGGTTGTTTTTTTGCAGACAAACTAGTGCTAGAAGGGAGGAGGAGGAGATCTATGGGGTCCTTAGTGCTCTCTGAACTTGGTGGTTTTCTCACAGATGTTTCCTGACCCAACTAGGAAACATCATCAGTGCTAGAAGAGAGTGGGGTTTCCTCTCTTCATATACTAATGGTTTGCCCTTTCAGTCTTTGTGGGTTCCTTGATTAGGCTGTTTTTTACTAACAACTTATACAAAAAGTATCCACGCTGCTCGAAGCCTTAGCCGAGCTGACGGTTGAGCTTCCCAACCTCATGGTTATGGGAGATTTTAATCTCCCGTCAGTCAGCGAGACATCTGAGCTGGTTCGGGAGTTCATGGCCTCCATGATGGCCATGAACCTGACTCAAGTTGTACAGGGCCCAACTTACAGTGGCGGACACACGCTCGATCTGATTTTTATCTCTGGGCAGTGGATAAATGCTCGGGGTAGGGGGGAACTCTCTATTCAACCCCTGTCATGGACTGACCATTCCCTTCTTAAACTAGACTTTCTATCTGCCAACCCCCACAACTGGGAGGTGGAACCGACTCGTTGGTTCTGCCCCAGGCGCCTGATGGACCCTGATAGGTTCCTGACGGAGCTTGGAACATTTCCCACAGACCTATCCTGTAATTCGCCAGAGGCCCTGGTGGGTGCCTAGGAACGGGCTGCCACCGGGGCATTGGATCGAATCGTCCCTTTGCGGCCTCTCCTCCAACAGGGATCCCGGTAGCTCCATGGTTTTCCGTGGAGCTTAGGGAGATGAAGCGTCAGAAGAGACGCCTAGAAGGCTGTTGGAGATCTTCCCATTCCGAATCTGATCGAACACAGTTAAGAACCTATATTAGGTCTTACCTCATGGCAATGGAAGCGGCGAAACGTGATTATTTCGCTGCTCTCATTGCGTCTGCAGAAAATCGCCCAGCAGCCTTGTTCCGAGTGACCCGCTCTCTTCTCAATCAGGGAGCGAGGGAGGACCCCTTGCAGGACAGTGCTGAGGACTTTGCTCAATTTCTGCAAGACAAAATCACTCAGATCCGGATGGGTTTAGACTCTGACTGGGTAGGACCTGACGGGGAGATGGGAGCAAGTTTTGAAAGCAATATCTGGGTTGACTTTGACCCTGTATCCATAGATGAAGTGGACAGGATTGGGGGTAGATTGGGGACCTCCACATGTTTGTTGGACCCATGTCCCTCCTGGCTTGTTGCGGCAACCAGAGAGGTTACCGGAGACTGGATCCAGGTGATTGTCAACGCTTCATTGAGTGATGGGGTCTTCCCCGTCGCACTTAAGGAGACCGGAGCCTGGATCCAGGAGACTGGATTCCCCGCCGCACTTAAGGAGACTGGAGACTGGATCCAGGCGATTGTCAATGCTTCATTGAGGGATGGGGTCTTCCCCGCCGCACTTAAGGAGGCGATGGTTCAACCCCTTCTCAAGAAGCCTGCCCTGGATCCAGCCACCCTGAATAATTTTCGTCCAGTCTCCAACCTTCACTTTATAGCGAAGGTTGTTGAGTCTGTGGTGGCACACCAACTTCCATAATTCCTGGAGGAAAAGGATCAACTAGACCCATACCAATCGGGTTTCAGGCATGGACACAGCATGGAAACGGCATTGGTCTCCCTGGTGAATGATCTCTGGCGGGCCTGGGATGAGGGTTATTCCTCTATCCTGGTCCTACTTGACTTCTCAGCAGCTTTTGATACCATCGACCATGGTATCCTACTGCGACGACTCGGGGGGCTGGGGGTGGGGGGCACTGTTCTACAGTGGTTCTCCTCCTACCTCTCGGGCCGTATGGAGTTTGTTTGGGCGGGGGAGTGTTAGAGATCCTCCCCGAGGCCCCTCATCTGTGGGGTGCCTCAGGGGTCGGTTCTCTCCCCCTTCTCTTTAACATCTACATGAAGCCGCTGGGTGAGATCATTTGCAGTTTCAGGATGAGATATCATCAGTATGCTGATGATACCCAGCTCTACATCTCCACCCCGGATCAACCCAGGGATGCCCTTTCCATGATGTCTAAGTGCCTGGAGGCGGTGCGGGTCTGGATGGGTAGGAACAGGCTCAGACTCAACCCCTCCAAGACTGAGTGGCTGTGGATGCCGCATCTCATGGTCTAGTACCCCCATCACTCCAGATGGGGGGGGAGTTACTCCCTCTGAAAAGGTTCACAATCTTGGTGTCCTCCTAGATTTGCGGCTGTCCTTGGTGGACCATCTGACGACCGTGACAAGGGGGGCTTTTGCACAGGTTCGCCTGGTGCGCCAGTTGTGCCCTTTCCTAGACAGGGATGCCATCCGTACAGTCACTCATGCTCTTGTTATCTCGCGTTTGGATTACTGTAATGCCCTCTACATGGGCCTGCCCTTGTGGTGCACCCGGAGGCTCCAGCTGGTCCAGAATGTGGCCGCATGGGTTGTTACGGGAGCTTCCCACTACTCCCGTGTTACACCACTCCTGCGCGAGCTGCACTGGTTACCGGTGATCCTTCGGATCCGCTTCAAAGTGCTGGTATTTACCTATAAAGCCTTCCACGGCACGGGCACGGGGTACTTGCAGGATCACCTCCTACTGGCCTCCCACCACCCAGTAGCGTTCACATAGGACTGCCCTCCTCTGGGTGCCTTCAGCCAGACAATGTTGGCTGATGGCGCCCAGGATGAGGGCATTTTCTGTGGGCGCACCGACCCTCTGGAATGGGTTACCCATTGAGCTTCGGACGGCCCCCGACCTCCGCTCTTTCCGCGGTAACCTGAAGACATGGCTTTTCCAACAAATTGCCTGATCTGCTGGGAGTCTTAGTCTTAACTTCTTGGGGATTTTAATTGGATTATTTTATTATTAATTTTATTGTTCCATTGTTCCCGAGTCCTTCGGGAGAAGGGCGGCATATAAGTATGAATAAACTAAACTAAACTAAACAAAAACAAAGACTAAACTCCAGTCCCTTCTAGCACTGATGAGGTTATCTAGTCGGATAATGAAACATCTGCTAAGAAAAACCAAGCTCAGAAACCACCAACGGTCCCCAGTTGAACCCTTAGCTAGAAAAATTCTCTTTTAGTCCCGTACTAGAATTCAGAGACTCCTGGTGATTGGTGCAAACCACCCAACCAGGGGTGAAATGCCACTGGTTCAGACCGGTTTGGGCGAACCAGTAGTAATAAAATGCTACCAGTTCGGACCAACCGGTATTTCCAACAATCAGCTCTGCCGCGCGATTTATATTCGCTAGAAAGCAGAAAATCCTGCTTTCTAGCGAATCTAAATAGCGCAGCACAGCTGTTCCCCCCCCCCCCCCCCCGGCTGTTTAACTTACCTTAGAAAAGGTTTCTTAAGCCTCATTTTTCAGTGCTCCACAATAGCGCCTGCGATGCGCAAGCACGCAAAGGATGCATTTGGTGCGCATCACAAATGCGCACGCACAGTGTACTGGTAATGAAGCGAACCGGTAGCAGACATCAGAGCATTTCACCTCTGCACCCAACTATCTGATGCCAAAGGTGGGACTAACACTCCTTATTTCCTGATGATTCGCCAAAGTCACCCAGCCATCTTTCATACCTAAAATGAAACTAGAATTTCCTATCTCCTGGCGATTGGCCCAAAGTCACCCATCCATCTTTCATACCTAAAATGAAACTAGAATTCCCTGTCTCCTGGCAATTGGCCCAAAGTCACCCATCCATCTTTCATACCTAAAATGAAACTAGAATTCCCTGTCTCCTGGCAATTGGCCCAAAGTCACCCAGCCATCTTTCATACCTAAAATGAAACTAGAATTTCCTGTCTCCTGGCAACTGGCCCAAAGTCACCCATCCATCTTTCATACCTAAAATGAAACTAGAATTTCCTGTCTCCTGGCAATTGGCCCAAAGTCACCCAGCCATCTTTCATACCTAAAGTGAAACTAGAATTCCCTGTCTCCTGGCAACTGGCCCAAAGTCACAAAGCCGGCTTCCATGCCTCAGGATTAGACTGGACTAGTCTAGAACTCAGGATCTCCCACTCACTATTAGACCCCGGTTCTTCGCAATCCTGCTCGCTGAAATACCTTACTTAACCCCCTCCCCATCCTCATCCCACCCCAGAGATGCCTCTAGCATTATTCTGGACCTCCAAGAAAGGATTCCAAGCCCAAAGCTGCCAGAAATGCTTTGAAATAATTGCTTGTCCCCGGTTTTGTATCCAAATGGTTCGTTTCGACTCCTGGACTAACAAATAGGATTCTTTGAAGAGCAGCCCAGAGGAAAGAATTGTCTCTTTGTGCTTCTCTCTCTCTGTGTGTGTGTGTGATTTCCCCCACTCTTCCATTCAATTCCCTTCCTCCGTTTGCAGCAGGTTAACTGTTTTCAGTCCAAATGAACCATGAAGATGCAAACTTCACAAGGCGGACAAACGACAACCAGAGCAGCCTCTGTTTCTTATTTTAGCTTCACAACCGCCTTATCTGCAGCCTGCTGTGCTGCGACAACGTGATAGCAAAACAGGGTTGTGTTGCTTTCCAGCTTGTATCCTGCAGAGACACCGGCCGGAGAGAGAGAGCCATCCGCAAAGAGAAACGCCAATTTTTTTAAAAAAAAATTTTTGGCAAAAGTTCTTTCTTGTACTTCTCTCTTGGGCGGTGCAGTGCATCAGAATTTTGCTGCATTGCTGGGACTGTTCGGCATCGCACAAAAATGCAGAATTTACCTCCGCATTAAGAATCTGGAGGTTTTTAAGTGTTTAAAGAAACTGTTTTTTAAAAAAAAAACTAAAATTTTTAAACAGGAGGGTTTGTTTTTTAAAGAATTGGACAATATTTATCTGAAATTGTATACCTGAGCAGGAGATTGGACTAGAAGATCTCCAAAGTCCCTTCCAACTCTGTTATTCTGTTATTTCTCCCAGCTCACTCAGGCTACACAGCCCTTTACTATAAATTGCAACCTGCTCACTCCTTTTAGCACCCCCTCCTCAAAATTCTCAAAACCCCCCTGCCCATTTAAGCCCTCCTTGGCCACCCTCTTCTGTTCCCAATAAAGCATTTATTGCACCAAAAACTCCAAACCCCCATGTTCACTGACCTTGAGAAAGTTGCAATCTAAGGAATCGGGTGGTAGATGGATGGGCAGAGTTGGGGTACAGAGTTGGGGAAGCAGGCTGGGGGGGGGTGGGGGTCACCTCTTTCAAGCTGAAGTTTAGGAAGCCATGAAGAGGAGCTGCTGGGGCTGCTGAAGTCCCCTGGTGGGAATGAGAAACGAGGGTGGAAGGCATCTGGCTGGAGATATTTTTATTTTGGGGCAGAACTGCAGAAGGGAGGGTTGGTCTTGTAGCTGTCCATCAGAGTAGCAGCTGAGGACAACTCAGAACTGGAGTCCTCTTGGCAAACGTTAGCCCGGGGAGGGGAAAAGGAGATGGAGAAGCTTGACAGCAGATCACCAGAAGATCGCTTCCATCACGACGTTGCAGTTTCTGGCTGCTGTTTCTGGGTTACTTGGATTAAGTGGCTGGCGAGATACCTGAGATGGTCACTTTACTTGGAGAGGAAGAGTCAGTTCAGAACATGGAAGGCTCTTTGGCACAAAGACCAAAACGTGCAACAGGGAAGAGCACGCCTTCTTCCCATAATTACGTCCCAAATGTTGCTAAAGCTCAGCCTGGTGTCTCTAAAGAGGGATCTCTTTGGGGTAGGATCAGTCACGGAGTGTGGGCTCTTAAGGGAATCAGACTATTTCAATAATGTCAATGGAAGAACATCCAACAATGGAGCAGGACACACCACTATCTGAACAGAATAACGGAATTGGAAGGGACCTTGGAGGTCTTCTAGTCCAACCCCCTTGGCCAAACAGGAGACCTTACACCATTTCAAACAAATGGCTCTCCAATCTCTTCTTAAAAACCTCCAGTGATGGAGTACTTACAAGTTCTAGAGGCAAGTCGTTCCACTGATTAATTGTTCTCACTGTCAGGAAATTCCTCCTTAGTTCTAAGTTGCTTCCCTCCTTGATGAGTTTCCATCCATTCCTTCTTGTTCTGTCTTCAGGTGCTTTGGAGAATAAGTTGACCCTCTTCTTTGTGGCAGCTCCTCAAATACTGGAAGGCTATCCTGTTACCCCAGTCCTTCTTTTCATTAAATTAGACTTACAATTCCTGCAACATTTGTATGTTTTAGCCTCCAGTCCCATAATCATCTCTGTTGCTCTTTTTCTGCACTCTTTCCAGAATCTCCACATCTTTTTCACATTGTGTTGACCAAAACTGGATGCAGGATTCCAAGTGTGGCTTTACCGAGGTGTTATAAAGTGATATTAATACTTCATGTGATCTTGATTCTATCCCTCTGTTTATGCAGCCTAGGATTGTATTGTCTTTTTTTGGTTGTTGCTATACACTGCTGGCTCATATTTAAATGATTGTCCACTAGGACTCCAAAATCCTTCTCAGAGTTGCTACTATTGAGCCAGGTATCACCTATTCTATATACCTGGGCATTTTTTTCATGCCTTGTCTATTCAGATCAAGGTGAGAATGCAGCCATGGTGGGACGCTACGTGAATATTATATGATATGGTGTATGCCTCATCATTTTAGCCTCTTGCTCTATTATAAGGGTATCTTAGCTGCTGAACATGAAGAATGGCAGAAGGTGACTTTCAAGGACACGGAAAAGTGAGATCATGTCCAGAGGAGAGTAGTCAAGATGTTAAGGGTTCTTGGCGGAAGCCCATAGGAGGAAGAGTTTGAAATATTGAGTATGGTTCTGAGCTATGGTGGCACAGTGGTTAGAGTGCACTACTGCTGGCTACTTCTGTTGACTGCTGGCTACCTGCAATTTGGCAGTTCAAATCTCACCAGGCTCAAGGTTGACTCAGCCTTCCGTCCTTCCAAGGTGGGTAAAATGGGGATTCAGATTGTTGGGGCAAGAGGCTGACTCTGTAAACCGTTTAGAGGGGGCTGTAAAGCACTATAAAGCTGTATATAAGTCTAAGGGCTATTGCCCTTCCTTCCTTCCTTCCTTCCTTCCTTCCTTCCTTCCTTCCCTCCTTTCCCTTCCCCTCCCCTCCCCTCCCCTCCTCTCCCTTCCTCCCTCCCTCCTTCCCTCCCTTCCATGATGCGCAGTGGTTAGAATGCAGTATTGCAGGCTAACTCTGCCGACTGCCAGTAGTTTGAATCTCACCAGGCTCAAGGTTGACTCAGCCTTCCATCCTTCCGAGGTAGGTAAAATGAGGACCCAGATTGTTGGGGGCAAGAGGCTGATTCTGTAAACCGCTTAGAAAGGGCTGTAAAAGTACCGTGAAGCGGTATATAAGTCTATTGCTATTGCTATGTTTAACCTGGAGAAGACAACAAGCAGGAAATGGGATATTTGTCTTCAAGGATTTGTTTCATAGATGATGTTTTGGTGTCATCTCAGAAGCCAAGGCAAGAGACAACGGGTTGACACGAGAAGGATTAAAACCTTGATTGGACATCATGAATGTTTTGCTAATGGCAAGATTCAGTCATGAAATTGGCGGCGTTTATCTGCTGGAAGGGTGAAACCAAAGTTTGAAGGCTATCTAACAAAGGATGTTGTAGATCCGAATTTCTGCACTATACAGTTGGACTAGATGATCTCTGAAGTCCCATGATTCTAGAAGCAAGAATTAGATAGCAAGATGGTATAAGGACTTCTGCATTGGCCAGAGGGTTGAATTAGAAGACCTCCACGGACCCTTCTAGCCTTATGAGTCTATGGTTTTAAGTAACCATTGGCTTAGGACAGAGGTCTCCAATCTTGATCATTTTAAGACTTCTTGACCTGAACTCCCAGAATTCCTCAGTCAGCACTTCCAGAATTCCTCAGCCAGCCATGCTGGCTGGGGAATTCTGGGAGTTGAAGTCCACAAGTCTTAAAGTCGCCAAGTTTGAGACCTCTTTCTTATAAAGATGGTCTATTGCCGGAAGAATCAGATTCACTTAACAACCTCTTGATTCACTTAACAACTGGGAGTGATTCACTTAACAACCGCCATATCTTTTACAGTCATAAGTTACAGTCATAAGTACTGTTTTTGCTTCGCATCATAAAATAGCCAACCTCGGTTCTTTTAAATCATCAGTATTTATAGATATTGGCGGATATTTGCTGAATATTATTCGGCTTGATTTTGGAAAGCAGAAAGTATTAGTTATTTTATTGCTTATGAATTTTATTAATTAAGTTTATAATTCAATATATGGGGAGCCAGTTTGGAAGACATTGAGTTCTAGTTCCACTTTAAATATGAAAGTCAACTGTGTAAGCTTGGTGCCGGTGAGTTCTAGTCCTACCTAAGGATTGAAAACTATCTGGGTGACTTTGGGTCAATCACCAGGAGATAGTGAGTTCTAGTCCTGCCTAAGAAATGAAAATTGGTTGTGTGACTTAAGCTAATCACTAGGTGATGGTGAGTTCTAGTTCCGCTTAGGCATGAAAGCTACCTAGGTGACTTTGGACAAATTACCAGGTGACAGTGAGTTCTAGTCCTGCCTTAAGAAATGAAAATTGGTTGTGTGACTTCGAGTTAATCACCAGGTGACAGTGAGTTCTAGTTCCGTTCTGGCATGAAAGCTATCTAGGTGACTTTCGAGCAGCTCCTCTCTCTCAGTTCCACCTACTTTACAGGGTTGTTGTTGTTGTACAGGGGAAAATAGAAGGAGGAAGGACTATTAGGTACGTTCGCCACCTTGAGTTATTTGTAAAAAATAATAAAGGCGGGAGTCAACTAAGTAAATGAATAAACACATGAATGGAAAGGATCCCTCCGCATTTAATGCGACAGCGCACAGTTCATAAATAAATAAAGCCACTCTAATGTTAGTGATGCGGAAACGTTATCAAAATTCATTTCTGCGGATGAGATCCGTGTTGGCAGTCTTATGAAACCATATTCTTCTGGGGTTTCTTTATTTTAATTCATTTTTCTTTTGGTTCAGCATAAGGTAAGGTTGTCTCAGCATCTTAGGAGACACATTTCGTAATTATTTATGACTAGCTGATAACCAGGCGTTGCCCGAGTATTTATTTATCCCAATCCAGGAAGAGCAACTTCACCCTGAGACCTGATTTCGGCGAGAATTAAATTAGTTGAAAATGTTTTCCCTGTGCCCTCAGAAGCGTCGAATAAAATGACACCACCTTGTTGTTTTGCTAGCTGATTCCTGATCATTTGGTGTGCTTTTCTCTGATCTTGATTCAGAAGTGGCTTCTTGTCCGCGATATATGCACTAAGCTGTTCGACATTGTAGTTCTTTTCTCGTATGTAATCTTCGTGAAGTACGTCGTGTCGGTTCCGTAGTGGTGCAGGCAGACTGAGTTGCAGTGATGTTTTATTGATCATGGCCATACATTTGTCCTCAAGAATAATCAAAGCCTTGTTGAAAATGTCAGGAGCAAATGTTGGATTTTCCCCCTTACTAGAGGGAGCCCCCTTGTGGAGTACTGTGAAGCCATTACCATAGCAACTCCACTGTGCTGTAGAGTAGAAGCCATTTTAAGGCAGTAGAGTAGGATCCATTTTAAGGCAGTACAGTAGGAGCCATTTTAAGGCAGTACAGTAGAAGCCATTTTAAGGCACAAGAGGCTGTATCTTAACAGAACATATACCCCAAGGGGTGTTAGGGTTGTCTCACCCTCACAGTATTTTTTTTCCAGAGAGAAAGTCATCTGTGTACCAAGTTTGGTTGAAATTGCTCAAGGCGTTCCAAAGTTATGCTGGAACACACACACACACACATTTATAAGGACACTTTTACTTTCAAAACTCAGAATTTCGAAGCACTCCAGTGCATAATTTCCTGTCTGTTTTTTGGAAAGAAAGAACCAGATTCAGGGATTGGGATGCCTAATTAAAAACAGGCAGGTGGAGTGGAGGCCACACAGAAATCCTACTGAACAGTGGTGGGTTTCAAAAAAATTTACTACTGGTTCTGTGGGTGTGGCTTGGTGGGTATGGCATGGCTTGGTGGGCGTGGCAGGGGAAGGATACTGTAAAATCTCCATTCCCACCCCACTCCAGGGGAAAGATACTGTAAAATCTCCATTCCCACCCCACTCCAGGGGAAGGTTACTGCAAAATCCCCATTTCTTCCTGATCAGCTGGGAATTGGGAAGCAGAGAATAGATGGGGGAAGGGCCAGTCAGAATTTTTACTACCGGTTCTCCGAACTACTCAAAATTTCCGCTACCGGTTCTCCAGAACTGCTCAGAACCTGCTGAAA